TTAATGGTCGTCCGAATTGTGCCTAACAGGGAAGAAGACTCCTTGAAATGAATCAACTTCTATGAATCACTATCTAGTATGCACTAATGACTTTCTTCCGAATGTATTTCCCGAAGTTCTAAAGAGAAGTCATGGAGTATAAGGCTCATTAGGTCGAGAGTGAGAAGTGATCCTCACCTGAGGTTTCGGATGATGGTCACTTGTTTATATGCGTTTTCAGTATGGACTCTAACCACTAGAAGAAAAGTCTTTTTAAATCAAATATGTATTGTTTTCAGTATTACTTGGTAAGATACATCATCTTTAGTCGATTGAGCAGCTAGTTCTAAAAACTAGTACGTTTTGGTATTCTTATTACCCTTCGGACCGGATTGCTAAATTCTGTTTATATTCTTTTTTATAAATTGTTGTGCAGTTCTGTATCGAAGATGTTTCAGGTTTCATAGTCTTTACTCCATCATCATAAGTCTTATTCTTATTCCTGGAAAAATGCATAGTATGAAAGTCTCTGACTCGATCACCGGAACTCAAATCAATGTGGCTAATTTATAATAAAATTGGAGTACAGTTTCATCTGAAAGTAAATTGGTCACATATTTTTGCAAAATTATCTTGGAAAGGAAATTTTTTGCGAATAGTTGAACGTAGTTTTGGTTTTCCATGAAAAGTGATCACTTCGTGTTGACTGACAACTGTAGTTGCTCAAAATGAGAAATACAGTGGATGAAATGCATACATTTTTCCTCGCTAGACAGGTACAAATTCATTTATCAACAACTGCTACTAATGTTGTGGAATATGTTTCACGTAAGCAAAATAATTATCAGCTATATGTATTTTGAAGAGTTAAAAATGCTATTCAGTCTAGTGGACGACTTGGCATACGCTTACTTCTTTAGTCAGATAGTTGGGTTTTCCCAGAGTCGTTGTGACAATATAAAACCGTATACATGCAATTTATGTCAGGTTTTTAACCTTACTGACGAAGACTAGAAATAAACGAAACAAGATTGATCCCAGGAGTACAAAATCTTGGAAGACTGGAAATGATGAATCAGTCAATAGATAAGTGGTTGATCAATAATGATTTAAATACCGTTGAGTGTCGATTTGTATCATGAACCGTGAAGTTCAAGAGAACCAAGTGTTCTTTGATCGGATTATTTCAAGGACTTTGCTGTGTTTCTATTGCCTCTAACCATTAAGCGAAAATTCATTTTAGCGTCAAGTTTTCTATCTTGGTGATGACTCTCTAGAACTTCGATAAAATTTGCTGGGTACTTAGAACACAACCAGGATTTCGACTTAATGAAGGCCTTCATTTGATTTCACAGTAAAAATACTTCAACTTTAATGAAACAGTATACAGGAGTTTATAGTAATGAACATTTTCCACTACGTTCAAAGTGTTGCAAGTTTAAAAATAGGAGAGTTGTCGTCCAGTCACCCAGGTCAAGTCATGTGTTCTAGTGGCGTCTCGTTACAAGATCTAATGAATGAGATAGACAGTAGGACCTTAACACAACTATATACTGTTTAGTATTCCATTGGCTTCTTGATTGTTGAGTTTAATGAACACAATGAAATTCGCTGACAGATGAAAAACGCAAAGGGATGAAGAAACTGAGAAAGAAATAATAATTAACTTATTGAGATTTCACATCAGCCGATTCATTTAAAGAATGAGGTGAAAATTTTAAAATATTTAAATGATAATATTGAGCAGGTGAGTGAATACACAGCTAACGTAATTTATCATTTTGATGATGTTAAGTGTATCGTATTTTGTGCATTCAACTTTGGCCATTTAAATTTAAACATATGGTTTTTGCATTGATCCTTCTAGAGGAACTAAATTCATTCATAAGTAATAAATTACTACGCTTCATTAACACACGACTATTATCTTTTGTACATTTCAATGCTCAATGCTTTTAGTCACTCAGCATATTATTCATTGACAATAAATAGGATAATCTAAAATAAATTAACCAGGGCATGAGTATCTGCCAGTCTATGTGCTGTGGATATCAAACAAAGGTGTACAACTGTGATGAAGTTGACACTTAATGCTCTTAATTTTATTTTTGTTTCTCTGCTTTCTTTTACGAAAAAGACAATAAAACAATGAAGAATTTTACTTGAAATGATTAGATTTTTAGCTAAGGATTGTAAAAAGAGTTGGAATATTTTGTGAAATTTCGAAGTAGTTTTAATCAAAAGTTTATATGAGTCCAACTAACAGGTAAAACTTTAGAATAGCTAACAATTATCGCTATAAGAAGTACTGATGATACAGCTAGATATTTGTAAGCTTGTTAAACTAGTCAGATTATGGATATTCTGAGTAAGGGACAATCAGCTTGTTGGTCTGGTTGGTCCATTCAATACTCTCTGGATATTATAATATTTCTAACTATATAATCCAACTGAATCTATTCTGAATCTGAATCTATTGCTTTGCCAAGGCTTACCCATTTGGAACGATAAAAATTACCAGACTTAAGGCGTACTTCTTTCACTACATAAGTCTTTCCCACAAATTCAGTGTCTGGATGGTGCACGAACAGAAAAGAAAACCCCAATTTTTATTCAAAAACGGAATTACTGATAGATTTCAGGCTGATACTCATTATGGAGTGACATCTGTTGGAGAACCACCGAAAACCCTGAAGCACTAGACAGCTGTTTCCTCCTAGTGTGGGGATTTTCAGCAGTGTGCATTCATGGCCTTGATATGGTTGGAACTCACGACCTTCAGGTTCTGCGATCACCGCTTAAACATTGTGCCATTGGGTCAAAACTCAGTGGTCTATATTTCTTTCTTCTGTCAGTTCTCCATATACCGCAACCTCCGTCTAATGCCGTGAATGAGTAACTGTTCTCACGTTCGACTCGGTTAACTTCTCCGGTCAAAACTTCTTAGAAGAACTTTGGGAATTTCATCTCTAACCAATTCATTAGTGAACACTACAGTAATTTAATTTGGAGATGTGTAAGGACTAATTTACTGATTTCAGACTGACATTTATCATAGACTGAGATCTCCAACTCATGTCATTTTTGATAAATATCAACCTGAAATCAATAGATTAATCCCCACAAACCTCAAAATTTAATTTACTTACAGCAACTTTAGGTTAAACATGTCTATGGTCAATATATTCTCCTACATCTTGTATGTCAAATGTTTGTAAACTATGGGAACAAACAGCTGTACTTGAAAAATACTGTTTAAAGCATGTTTCGGCAACAACACTAGTTGTATTCAGATGGTGTTGAAACGGCGTACTCCACAGTAGCTTCAAACTATGAGACGTCGAATTTATCAAGAATACATTTCCGCATAAGCATAACTAGCTCCAACTGTCAATAATTTCAATATTTGGTCTCTAATCAGTACCTTCAGTGACAGAGCGTTACTGAATTTATTAAAGAGGGAGGGGTTAAGTAATATATTAGTGGTAAAGTTTGACCCATACTAATCTTACAGGATTTATCATCATACTGATGATAAAATCTTTTAAATGATTAGCTGTACTGTTATTGTATCTGTATATAGTTTAGCCGTTCAGTTTTTCAAAAATTCGATAACATTTCAAAATATTATGCTCAAATTTTGGTGCCATGCCTAAATTGTGTTGTAGGCTGCACTCTGTACCATCGTGCATCAGCATGCCAGTTGAGAACCTTAGTCCTTTATTCCCTTACAAACAGCTGTTTAGTAGGATTTGTAACCGTCTATAGACTTCCTGTTTGTATAATCTGGTTTTGCTTTTAGTGTACTGTTGTTTTCCCTCTTTTGTCATCTAGTGTCCAGTAGAATTACCATGGAAGTGGCAATACTATACATGATACAAGTACACAGGAATAATGGGCTAGTTGTTGTTCCTGTTGTTGCTTGATGTCACTAGGTGTTATTCTTTTCAGATAAATCATAAGTGACTGATTGCTTGAAAAAGCGTCGCAAGAAGTCATTCAATACAACTCATGTTAATACAGAATGAAAAGTGGTATTTCATTGGTCAGCCGAGAATTAAATTACTTAGGATTATCTCTCTACACTGATTTGGATAAGATGACATCGGATCTGTACAATAAAAGTCAAAAGTTAAACAAACATACTGAGTAATATATACACTACTAACAGTTATAGATGAATAATGATCTTTTGGATATACCTAACAAAACCAAACTTAACATTCGGTTAGCTAGGTCGAGCAGTTTGACCAAGTGTGCAAGAACGAAAGATTGCAAGTACCAAAACAACAACTGATATCCGTGGCGCCAGAGGTGGCTGTTGGCCTAGTGGACAATGCCTTGGCGTATACAGCCATTGGTGTCAGGCTCGAGTCCCAGTGGGAACATCATTCATTGGGGTACAGGTACATCCAAGTAAGGAGTCCCAAGTAGGCCAAAACGTGCGTTCTGAATTTCCCCACTAGCCGTTAAGCACACTCCAACAAATCATATACTCGAGCAGTATGGTGTCATCCGTATAGGAGTCCATCTACCAAAAGAGGTAGAGCAATTTGACTCAATATATCTAGCAACAGGAGACTACGAGCGTTAAAACAATATTAAGTTAGCTACTTTAAAAGGTTGTTAGTTACCTTTCCACCAAAACAGTATTTTAAAGGTATAACTTGCATATTGATAGGTTGTCTCTCGTTGTTTATTGTCATGAAAGAGAAAGCCTAGTTTCAAAGCGTCTCTCATTTAACGATACTGCTGCTCAGCTGAATAATAAGGTTTTATTTTGAATGCTGAGTGAAACCTGGTTCAAGTTTTGTTCCTCTTTATTTTTTGGGCATATCATCACTCTCAAAGGATTTCTAGCCCCATGTTACACAGCTACAAGTGAAGGAATTACACAGGAAAACCGACCCACTATCTATAATAGATAAATTCTTCAAATAAAATTTTTATTTTTTGCAGCATAAATAGTTGATAATAATAATTATGAAACAACTTTCGGAAATCAATATAAACAAACTTACATTTATTGATTCACCTATTTCATGCTTTTTGCAACACGTTTCTTCTCTGCCTTGTTTGCAAGTGAATAAATCTTTCATTGGACACTGAATTACTTTTGATTCACTGCATGCTGATGACGATGAGGTACATGGTGATGAGAGTGACACAGATAGTGATGACGGTGATGAGGATGATGGTGATATGTTCGCTGGGATTGTTGTGGATATCGGGAGTTTACCAGTTAGAATCTCATTTCTCATTATCTCTGGTGTATGCGACAAGTTCTTTGTCTTATAATCTGATGAAGATTCTTTCTTCCTCTCAGAAGAATAATTAACATCAACACCTTGCATTATATTACATGTGTAATTTGATTGTATTGATTTTAACAGGCAAGAATTCAAATATTGTATTGATCGATAATACTGTAATTCCTCACTTTGATTATGATCATTATTACTTGGAAAACTAGTTTGTTTCGCGGGGAATCTAATTGACTGGTTTATTTTTTTCAATTGATTAGCTAACATTTCCGAAGATGACAATGATTTCATTCCCACCATTCCGGGGTTGCAACGTGGTCAGAGTTATCATTGAAGTAGATGCTGTTAGTTTCAGGACAATTAACAATATCATTGGTAGCTGCAGCGGTCACTATTTCGATACCATTCACATTCGAAGCAGTAGAAATAGCAGACTGACATAACTGTGATTGTTTGTTGAACAAATTATAATTATTACAGATTAAAGGATTAATTATTGATTCCGTATGAGTTAACATTTAAATTCAAATATTTTTTTGGAGGTTCCAAACAGTATCTGCTAGATTTTTGTTGCTGAAAAAATAAGACAAATTTAGGAACGATTTAAAAGTATTGAGAAGATGAAATTTACTCATCTAAATTTACTTTCGATTATTTGTAATACGAAAACAAACATTTTTTTTGCTATGGTTAGCGTCAATTATTAGTAAACAGTCGAGTGAGATCATTCAGAAAGTACATTCAATTCCAGGTCCTTATCTTAATTTAGAGTTATCCGTATTCAATCAGTAATTCAGTTTATTGCCATGCCTGTGAAGGGTTTCAGACAAATAAAATGTACAGCCTCAGTGAAATTTATTAACTTCCTCACATGGATGTGTGGTAGTAGATCCGTTGAAAACAATGTTCTGTAAAATATGCATGGATGGTGAATTAAACTGACCAGTTGGATAGATCACCAAACCAATGACTGAAGCGATTCATATGTCAAAAAACAATCACACCTATCTATGCAATAATATGGTTTTATTCTTAATGACAGCTTCGAAGAAGCTTAATGCTTAGTTGAACACAACACACTTGTACAAGTTAAGGATATGAAAAAGAACTGATACACAACATTAAAATGTTACATGGTTTACTCTCATGCAGTTGGATAAATTCAATTTGCTGTTGCTTGAACAGGTCGCATTTTGCTCATAGTGATGGAGTCTGTCAATGTGCTTTGACCAAACAGTCACACAATCTCACATTTTTAGGTATTCGCTATATTTACATTCGTCCATGTGTTTGCATTCCGTAGGCATATTACAATGTAGACTGTTTCCATTCCGATCAATACGAAGATGCACACACGAAGGTTTAATGTGTCCTTTAGAATCATAACACTATCATATCGACATATGATAAGTGCATTCACGACATGAAATCTAAATTTCCGGGTTTACTTACATGTAGAACAACTTACTTGTCAGTATGAATAAGTTCTATCAAGCGGGGAAAATTGCTAGTGACGCGGTCAAATCCACAGTCGACTTCAGACGACAAACTCCTTAGAGTTGTGTTATATGACGCTTCAACAACCTGTTCACCATCACCACCATGTCACCGTTATCGTCAACATGAATTACCTTCATGAGCACTTTACTTTTTACTGAGATACGTTCGTTGATGCCATTCAAAAATGCAGAAGTTAATAACATTTTGGTCGGAAATTTAGTATACCGCTTCGAAAAATTCTAAGAATAATGTGGGACTATGAGACTGAATGAAAGATAACCGACTGTCATCTTATTGATAGGAATCCATCCAAAATCAACCAAAGTGACTGAAGCCTCATGACAGATAGCCTTGCGATGGTGTGGGAGTGTGTAAACTTAGCCTACCAATTAATTTCCTACTAATTGAGGCCTACTTAACACATAGTAATTGGAAGGATTTCAACCATTGAGTGGTTTGCTGGTGTACTAAGTAATCGATCCATTGAGTACTCACATTTTTACGCTGAATCATGAGAAAGTGACCTATTAGTACCATAGTGTACAGACTTTAAGGAAAATTTTTAAAGTAAACTGCATTTATCACTATAAATTAACTGGAAAGTCTGATGAGTTCTTAGATAAAATAGAAATGTCCCTTTAAAGATGTATAAAAGAGCACTTCTCTGGTAGAAGCCAAATAGCTAGTCAAGAAATTTGTTTCACATTGATTCAAACATGCTAAGCTGACTATGAGCCTTCATGCTTATGGTATTGGGGTCAGGAGAAATAAATGACTCAAAGCAGCTGTTACTTGTCGCCAGGATTCAGTTGAGCAGCTAACGATTACTCTTGGATATCTGTTTGTACAGTTCCCAAGCAGACTAAGCAAAGACCTACTATCTTTATGTGATTGTGAGTAAAAGCATAACCAACATGGAAATTTAATATTAAACAAATTGAGTAGTTAAAAACCAATTAACATGATGTGCAGATTTCATCAACTAGATCAGAGTGATCTAGCTGGATAGTTAGAAAACTACTCAGCTGTGAGAAATGTCAACTGATCGTCATTTAAATTACTTAAAAGAAAGTTGGCGGTAAATGTAGTTTACAATGTAGTTATCCATGAACAGAGTTCCAGTGAAATTGCTTTCTCGTTATTGTGGTATTGGGTAATTGTAACTGACACTCAACTCCAAACCATGGAAAGTACAATCATAAAAAGACAAATTGTTGGGGGGAAAATGAACTTAAGAATGTGACAGCGTCTCACAACCAAAGTCGGTATTACTGGGGCAAAAACTAAAAAATAATCAACTATATATTTAAGAATTAGTGTTTTCTACTGAAACTTCTCAAATTATAGGACGCGCAAATAAAGGCTATCTATTCGAACACTTGTGGGCATGTTAGAGCCTATAGTGAGATGTTCAGGGAGCTATGCTCATCAAGTGGTGTCCCTCAAGGGTGCCCTCTCTCTTCATTCTTATTCAATTTTATCATAGATATTCTTATAAAGGTCTCCCTCTCGTCACCGAATTACACGGAGGTTGACATAATCGCGGAAGAATTTTTGTTAGACCTAGAATCTGCAGATGACATAGTCCTGTTAGGTGAAGACGCTGACAAGATGCAGTCTTCTGAACACTTTGAGTGGGAATTTGAGAATGTTTGGGATGCGTTTCTCACCACCCAAATGGAAATTGTTGCTTCAGGATTGGTCTTCAACAGTGCCACGACTAACAGTAGAGAGCGAGGTGGTTGAGTGTGTTGACCACTTCACTTACCTGGGAAACAGGATCAGCCCTGGGGGCTAGCTCAGTGGTCGATGAAATCTCTGCACGAATACAAAAGGCTCGATTGGCTTTCACCAACTTATGCAACCTATAGCGCCACCGTGATATCCGATTGTCTATTAAGGGTTGCGTGTAATACACCTCCACAGCAGTCCGGTCTGTTCTACTGTATAGCTGTGAAACATGGCCACTGAAAGTGGAAGACATGAGAAGGCTTCAAGCGTTAGACCACCGTTGCCTTCGTAGTATAGGCCGTATTCCATGGTGTCACCACGTGAGTAACGCAGACGTCAGGTGTAGAGTTTTAGGGAGAAGAGGTAAATCAGTTGACACGGTTTTGAACCTTTATCGGCTGAGATGGTTGAGACACGTATTACGTATGCCTGGTCGTCGATTGCCTCGTCATGCAATGTTGGCTGAAGTAGGTCCAGGCTGGAAAAAGGCTCAAGGTAGGCAGACTAAAACATGGCACCAGTGTATGAAGTCTTTGACTGTTGGTTTGAGCCATGTGGGGCAATGCAGACTAGCCGGTTGGGGACTGCAGGACAAGAGGAACCAGTGGTTGGAGGCTCTAGATGATATGGCTCAGAACCGATGTCAGTGGGGCAGATCTATACACACATTATCTTCATCTTAACATTATCCCGAATCTCATCACTTTCTCATTCTTCCTTTCTCTATTTTAATACTTTATGTTTCATTTGACTGAATTTTCTTATTTTCGTTTTCCACCTCACTGCCTTTTTACTTGATGTACTGATATGAAGTGCAGCAACTCGGACCGTTATGCAGTAATGTCTGGTCCTATGTTGATATTGATGATGATGACGAGCGAATGAACTGGTATGGCGCCTTTGGGTGTTGATGACACTTATCGCATTGATCGTCAGATGAATTAACTGTTAAATCTGTGTTACTTTTACCACCCCATCTGCCCTCACAGTACCCTATTGTCAAACAATCACAATGTACTTGGTTTTTCATACACTAAATCATTCCATCCTTACAGCTTCAATGCTTTTCACTTCAAACACGCAAATTATTTTCTTTGAATTTGTACTGTTAAATGCAACAAAGGGGACAGATTTGAACCAACGACCACCGGCTGCGGTCCAAATTTTCATTTCACCTTCAATCATCACTCAGTATGAAAACTAGTCTATCAAACCACGGCTATCATGGATTGTCAAAATGATAATCTTTCTAAATAGTTCGATAAAATAAACAGTTTTACATATCACAATGTCATATCATCCATGATCTTACTTTTATCATTACTGTAAGTGTATGACAATAATTTTTAAACTTACATTATACTATGATTAATATCCCGGTGACGAATACAGTTCCAATCTGGTATAAGTGTACAGCTGAAATATCAGCGATGATTGTTTTGGAAATTGTTATTTTCGTGTGCATTAAATAACACCCATCAGAGAGTAATTGTACACACACACAACATATACAATTATGCATACATATATGTGCACAAATATTTGTTCGTTCAATAGCTTAGTGATTTAAACAGTTTTAAATGATGTGACGGTTCACTCATCCTCTCCGCCAATATTCTCTCTCTCTCCCTCTCACTCACTAGCCTGCTAGTTTTCTCATTCAATCACTACTACAACTACTACTCGTCCGTATAATTTTCTAGTGTTCTCCCCCCATCTCTCCCACCCCCAATCCTTCAGTTCACTACCACATTGCTTGAAAGTTTATGTTTTGCATGCTGTCAGCTTATAACTGAGCCGATATCTTATAAAGACACCGAACAGATGTTTGCGATAGGCGTGGATGTTATTATTCACCAAAACAAATGTTTGTCTATACATATCATGTGCGTAGGTATATCTTGTATGTGTCTGTTGTGTACAATTGTGAAGAGAGTGTACTAGTTAGATCAGGTTAATTTCGAATTTCGATTTCAGTGCCTCTATTCTTTAGTTCACTACTCCTCTTTGCCTGCTTATAAAACATGGAGGCATAC